ACTTTGCAATCACCTATTGAATCTTTGCCAACAACATCAGCATCGTATACATCAAAATGAATTGTATCGTCACCCTTGTGAACATTGAATGTAAATCTCTCGTTCCACGCAGGATTATTCGTATTGGATATTGTTTTTGTTCTTTGTTTGTACTTCTTGTCCATGTAAACTTCAACGTAAGCATCATTTTGACCGACAATATCACGATCTTTCAAGTTTCGTCCTTCAAGAACAATTACTTCGAGCGTACCCTCCGGCATGTTGCAAAATAAACCAAATGAATTTGTGTTTTTGGCTAGTAGAAGAATTTTTTTATTCGAAGATGTGATGGTTGCTTTATATAAGTTCGAAATAAGAGATAAAGAATAAGATTTGATTGTTCTGTTTGTTTGCTATCGTCGTCTTTTTCTTTCATCTACTCGTTTTGTTGCATTCTCTAGCAGAGACTGTGCGAGGGTACGAATATTGGGGGTGTACAGGTACTTTTTGCAACAAAAACTCATAAAAATATGATAGAAAGTCCAAAAAATCCATTTGTGTCATTGAAAAAAGTTGAAAATTTACCGTTATTGGGGAGATGAGGGTGTACGTCCTCCACAGCCCCCGCTTCCGCGGCTCATGTTCCCTAGTCGACTCTCCAACGAAATCACCGGGAAGTCCCCTGAAAAATGCGAAATCGTTGTCGTGAGTTCTCGGAGGAGTTTCATATCTCAGGACTCCCCTGAAACTGCTCGCGGGTGTGACTGTGAGTGTGAGTGCGAGTATGGGTTTGGGTGTAGGTCCTTTCTTCACTGGCACACTATGCATGCCCATCCACATACACACCTACACCCACCCGCACCAACAGCCTCGTGCAAGTTTAAAACGTTTGATTCAGCAATGTATTGATAAGTTTAAACTCATATTGAGAAGAGTATATCAATCAGCCGACATATGATTTAAATGACAAAGGTGTTCGCGTTAATGACGTCAATAATTTTTGCGCAGGACCATTCGTTCTGGAAAATACAAAAACTGGATACAAGAAGCGTCTCATCAATATTCTCCGTCCGCCTTAACGAATCTTATGAATATTTTTAACATATGAAGTTCACTTCTTTTTCTTTCTCTTTGTTGAAATAAACAATAAATACATTTTCAAGTACTACTCATTTATAACGTTGTGCAACCAAATAATGGATATTGCAAAAATTCCTGGAAAAATATCGGACTCTGTTGTATTTGAGTAGAAGATGAAAGAAAGATACTTCTTTTTTTGTTAGATAGAGGGTGGTTTCTACTCTAAAAGCATCTATTTCACAGACTGCTTTTCTTGTATTAGTAGTAAAATTCATTTGATTTTTATAAACCTTCTCAAAAGCAGACTGTGAACGTTTTTAACAGTAAACACATTGTATATCTCAACAAAGACATGTGCTTGTAAATTGACATGACTTCTATGTTGTGTTCTTACTTTAAGACCACTTATACAAAAAAAATTCAGTTCCTGAAAAGGGTGTTGGCATAAATTGTGAAACTTTCTACTAGAGTAAGTTTTACAGTTTCAAATATCTAATTAACTTAGGATAAAGAGTTTAATAAGGTTTTTGTACACATTTGTGTATCCCGGAAAAAGCTCGATCTAGCGTAGCTGATTTTACTTAAATGGCTTGTGAAAAAAGGTTATATCATTTTCTACAGAATCTGTGAGAAGCAGTTCAAAATGTTCCATCTAAGACAAGATATTAAACTTGTTTCGAATAAATCAGAAGCAAAATAGCAGAAACTTACAGTGCGTCTTTCAGCAGTTGGAGAAAAATCAAATTGATTTTACTGCAAGTGTATGAATAGAAGTCTGCGAAACAGATCCTTTTAGAATAAAAAACAAGCTCTATCTAGCAAAAAAAGAATTCGCTTTCTATCACTTTACAAAGTCATATTTATTCTCAAAATATAAAAGTTTATTTAAAATTAATAAGTTATATTGTTTCCTTCATGAAAATATAAATGTTTTTAATGAAGCATCACAAAGAAGGTCAACATGTATAAAATGAAATGTATCATTAATGGTCCTACAGACATGGCAAAGTTATCTAATGGTGATGGTGTAACTGTTGGTTTTTGATAATCAGTTTGATTTGTAAGATGAACATCGTCTCGCTTTATATATACCGGTGCATTTTGATCATATTTGTAATCAAGTGCAGCAATACTAAACACAACAGGATTGGTAATTACAGTAGAATTTGAATTCATATCAGGAATGTTTATTGCGCCCATTGCAATTGTATCGCTTACATTACTTTTTGCGGCTAGACTATACGCTTTTACAAACCCATCTGTTGATAGAAGGCCCATAGTATCAATTACACGTAAGGTAATAGTTAGTGGAGTTTGACCGTGATTATAAAGTGTGTAATTCATCAATAATGTATTATTAAGAAGGACAAAATAAGGTTGATCATCAATACTTAATGAAATCGATGTTGGAGATATAATTTCTTTTTTTCCTCGTTGAACTGTTGTACCATCTTGTAATTGAACCACTGTACTGAGACGAAAATTCACATCGGGCACAGTTAATCGTGATAAAAAGCCTGTGGATGAAATTTGAATTGGTGTCAATGTCTGTAATATTTTTGATCCATTGTTGGCATCTATAAGATTTACATAACCTGTTTTTAATTCAGACGGAAGATTTTCGCAAATTGTTAATATGAATAAATCTGTTTCTTCTTTTATTGGTTGATTAATTAATGGCGTAAAACTGACGTTTGATGAAGAGTCAATTATTTCTTTTTGTATTGCAGATGAACATATTGTTTGACTAATTGCATTCACTTGAATAGTATGATCAACATGCATAGAAGAAATAAGTGTCCATTCTCCGCTTTCAGCTGTTCCAACTGGTATTGTATATAAGAGAATATAAGATGTTTGAGATGTTGGTGATGGCATAATTGCTACACCTGATGGTTTAATCAAACGAAAGTTACTAGGTGATAGAAAATTGGACGATGTTATTTCAATCTTCAGAGACTTAATCGATAAATCAACATGAAATTTAATATTCATATTTAATCCTTTAGCAAAAATAACTGTTGCCATTTTATCAGCTTCGAGATTTTGAATGATATATTCACTGGTAGCATTGAGTGCTTGATCATTAATACCCATCATAACACCACCAGTTACGGATGGTAAATCAGTACCATCAATAATATCTAAATATTCGATTACATCAGTAGTATTCATCAATGCACGGCCACTCTGTTTTTGTAATTGTTGAGCTCTTGGATTAGCATAAAATAAAGTAATTATCACACGTTTTTCCTTTGCTAGTTGTACAGCTTGACTTTTTAAATAAGCATCTTTTGCTGGAGCATCGGTGAAAGCATATAAAGCTGATCCGATTTCGCATGCTTTTAATGCATCAACAATTCCATGATAATATAGTTCGGGTCCATCGCCACCATCATGAGCATTAAGTTTGCTAATTTCTAATACAAATGCTTCTGGAGCTTTACTGATTGTTAACGGTCCCCATGTAGGATCATTGAAGGGCGAAAGAATATAGTTAATTGGTGGATAATCTAGATTCTTATGAATATCAACGATACCAATAGCAATTTGTTTAGCCATTTCAATATATGATGCCATACTACCAGTATCATCCATAACAATAACTAAACTATTCGAAGAGAAATTTTGTAGACTAGTTGCTAAACCAAGAAAATGTCCGAATGGTTCATTTCCAATCATTGTCCAAAATTCACTTAATATCTGTTTTGTTGCATTATAAGCAACAGATGCTGCTAATGTATGTAAATGACCATGATCAGATCTTGATGTATCTTTATTAATACCACCTCCTCTAGCATCCGTCTCAACAGTATAATCCGTTACACCACCATGACTACATTTTCCAATTGGTTTTGTATTTTCATCAAAAAGTTCACCGAATACTCTTAATCCAAAATAACCACTAGTGAGAATATTTTCCGTAATAATATCTGAAACAATATTGGTACGACATGCATCTCCAACACAATCAATACATGTTCGCATTTCTTTCGAAGCATATCTACCTAAAATTTCATACTTTCCAATGCCTTTGTTTGGTACACGATGGCCAATTTCAATCCAATTCGAATGACTGTAAAAATCTTGAATAGTATGTAGTAATGCACCAAATGATTCTCTTGCTTTTTCATAATCTTTCATCATCATACTTGTCAAAGCTGCGTCTAACCTTTGTGAGATTAATAAAGCCCCATCATCAAATTTCTCATTATCAAAATGAGTTGCTTCTTCAAACATTTCAAATAGATCTCGATTTGTATTCTCTTGAGCAACAGTGTCAATCGCACGAGATAAACGTTTATTGTCAATTTTTAGTTTATCTAATTCAATCTTAATTTTATCAAAAATATCTTTTGCTCGACATGTACCATATTGAATATTAATGGAAGAATGAATTGTTATAATATTGTAGATTTCTTTCAAATAATCCGCAGCTGTTTCTAATAGAGCACATTCAGTCATTGAATAATGAGTGGCATCTTGCGATACAAAGAAATTAGATGTCCATCCAGCATTAAAACTGTATACTTCCGAATACAAAAGGAAAAAATATGAAACAATGTATGCCGTATGCATGTTAGGTCTGAAATGAAATGACTCTTTCAATGATTTGTTACTATTTCTACACCCAACGTAGCGTCATTAAATATTGACTTGATAGTTGTTGCTAGGATTTTATCAGTGATTGTCTACTACCTACTCAATGTTTGATATAAATAAGACCTTCGTCTTTTTTTTTGGCTGAAAAAAATGCATTTTATTTCGTTATTTATGGATGGGAAGAATCTTGTGTGAAGAGTTCTTTATGATCCACATCTATTTATTTTTAGTATTCTTGAATTTCTCTCAATACAGATAATGTTACTTGTGTATCCAATGCAAACATATTTTCGTGCATTTTGATTGAAAATTACAAGGTAAATTTGCTCAAAAACTCGATGCAACATCAATAAATACCAATCGTATTCGACAAGGATACTATTGATAGAATTGTTGAGATTGATAAACACATATACAATATTTTTTCGATGAAAGAAAGGCAATAATACTATAGAGTAATTCGATAACATTTATACCGATCGCAAACGAGTGCATTGAAAGATAAGTAATTGACGAAAAAGAGATGTAAAAAGCCTATGTCGATATTGTGTTGTCTGGTTTCAAATATCCAAAAAACCCAATTTCGATGACTTTCTTATGGTGTTGACTGAAGGAAAAACGCAAAGAATTGAATAGTTTTTTTTGTCAATTATTGACAATGCCAAGTGAAAATGTTCACTGATTTGAAAAAATGCCCGATGAATATTATTTTGATAACAAAGATAAGGTTTCCAATAAGTTCTACAACTTCTTTCCGAACAGTCAGTTTGAGTTACTCCTTCTCTTAACCTCACACCCTTTCAATATGGTATCTAATGGATGAGAGAACTTACTCAGAATACTCACTTTGAAAGAATGCAATTAAATCAAGTAGATCACACTAAAAAATATTTCGATTGAATTTGATATTGAATGCTTTTGAGATCGATTATGAAATCCGTCCAAAACGTTTTATCAATTAATCATCCTCACATTTTTAGTTCGCTTAAAAATATTCATCTAATTCCCAGGTAACCATTTTTCGATCTTGTACACGTCCCTGAACGTCAATGACTTATGCAACTTGGCGCGTTGGAACGCATCGAGAATGCAACATGTTCGGGTCTCTGAACGCATTTACAGTGGACAAACACGTCTTCCCTCGTCCCAATGCTAACAGTACCACAACTCGTTTATGTGAATACAAAAACTTAAACCTCACAATTTGGACGAAGATTTGAACACAACTAGCTCTGAGCTAAATATAGCTCGAACTTGTTGCTATGTTTATTAATTGCATCATTAGCTCGTATAACACTACTTATTGTAACATTGCGAATAGAGCTGTTATATTTTTACTCCATGAAATAAATTTTTTGTATAAAAAAAAATTAAAAATAAAAATTACAGAATAAAAAAATCTCGGTCTGTGAAAAATAAATATATAAATATGTGGTATAAAGGAATTAAGCACCTCAATAACCAATGTTAATAAAAAGTAAAGATATTAGAAGAAAAAAATATATGCAAATATTCTTATCTATGTAATTATTTGTGATTATGATATCAAAACTTTTTTAGGTATCTGGAGAAAAATAAAATATTAGGTTTTTATTTAAAAACAGACCGCCATTTTCATTTAACTTTCTTTATTCTTATGAATAAAATATTTATTTATCTTTGTCTTGAAAGTATAATTGTTTATCATTATGTTTGTAAGTAATAAAACTTCGTAATGTATTTATCTTTATTGCATGAATCTAAGTTTCATTTCGAGTCATTTTATTACAGAGCACAATAAAGATAAGCGAACAACTCTATTTGAAAAAGCACTTGTGAAATTCCAATAAATGAAATAGTTGAAAATAAAGATATCATATTCAAAGAATTTATTTGTTTGTCTAAAAAAAAATGATGAAGTGAGCAACAACTTTAAGATTATAATCTACCATCTGCCCATTCTTAAGTAGTTTAGTAGTAATGTAGAGTGAGACATATAATTTCGATAAAAATGAAATAATTTCAATAAAAGATCTACAAATAACAATCTATTATTATAGGTGTACTGATTTAAATGCTTAATTTGTTAAATCAAACTCAATTTAATTATATTTTAATGATAGTGATGCAGTCTGAATGCTAAACTCTGGTTTGGTTTTGACACACAGTAATGATTATTTTCTAACTTTTTTGAGAGTAAAGTAAACGCATCTATTTCATAACAGTATCATAAGTAGAAAAGCCAGAAAACGTATATTGATGCATTTTCAACAGGGACAAGTTTACAAGCGTTTTGGTTTTTGAACGCGTTCACACACCTTAAAATGTTGCATTTTGGATGTATTCAAACGCATCAAGTTACATAACTTGTAGACATTCAGAAACGTTTTAGGAGTTTAAGCATGAATACATGGGTGTTAAAAAGAATATCATAGAGTTATTCTAATTTCAATAAAAATAGATAGGTTTTCGTATAGCATCAACTAATCAAGTCCTTATTGTAAACTTTGTGAGAATGGGTGTGTATTAGAAGATTCCTTTTTGCCTTCTTGATGTTTGTTTTTATTTCAAAATGATTTGAACCAAGGATGTGGGTGTGAATATTGGTGTCATTTCAAAGACCCTTCACTCACACCCAAAAAAACTAGATTCAAGATTTCATCTGTTTTCCGAATATCACAGTTTGAGTCCAGATAAACACAAATAAATCAAAATCAACAAGATATTTATCATTAGAATAGGATTCAGCACCAAATAATGTTTAAATCATTAGCATGCGAACAAAAAAAAACTATTTTGCGACTTTAGTTGACATGAAGAATTTGATAGAAATCAAAATTCAAGTTTTGTTGAAGGATAATATTCCATTTTATTCAGAATACAATCTTAATTTTCAATGTATCGAAAAATATGCATAATTATATGGACAAAAATAACACTAAATATTTAATAGTTTCATCTCATTGCTATTTTTTGGATCCTATTGAGATTTCGTAATGCAGCTTTTTTAAAAAAAAATGGATCCGAACACTAAACTTAATCATGTGATCATCATACATTCGTTTGATAGACGTCATTCAGTCTGAAAAGTAGTCATATGAGCAACCAAAACACACTGCACAGCAAGTTTTGCTACTATAATTCCAGTAATAAATAAAGATGATTGTTAACACATCATCATAATTCGTAGACATTTAACATTTTTTTTCTTATGGTCACATGTTGAAAGAGCACTTCTGATTTCTTGTGTTAATATTTTATTGAAGAAGTTTTCTTTCTATACTAATTCATGTTTTTTTTAAAACAAATTTTTCTGCCTTTTTTTTAACAAAAACTTTCAAATTGATAACTCAGAGAGAAACTTATTGTGTCTAAAAAAAATAGAGAAAAGGTCAAGGTTGTTCTACAGTAAGAACGCACTCATTTCATAGGCTATTGACCGTGCTCTTTTGAATGATAGCCTCAAACTGCTTTACCTTCGATTGTAAATCTTTTGCACATGACATCAACCAATAGATAAGGACCATGTTGAATAGAAGCGAAAAGGTAACCAGATACCTTTACATTATTTTTCATTTGCACGATTCTACAAATGAAAAAGATACGCAGTGCCTCTATTATCAAAACAATTTCATAAAATATTGAGAGTAGCGACGTTAATATCTTATTCAATTAATTTATTAAATTACGTCTGCGTTAAATACTACTATGAAATTTCGAATTGTCAATTATAAAATATAACTGATGAATGAAAAAATCTTTCATTGGTATAAATATGATATTTGCAGTTTTTTCGATGAGTAATATCAGTGACTTGTTGTTTTTCAATTTCTATTAGAACCGTTTGACTATAGTAGTATATTTATTAGTTTTTATATTTTAAAGATAATTTCGGTCACTATCATGAATAGTATTCAAACGTCGTCTTTACATTGGCTTGAAATGTTTCCGGATGAAATTTTTCTTGAAATCTTCAAATATGTAAAACCAATCGATCTTCATAGTTTCATAGGACACAATCAACGAATCAATAATATTATACGTGATGTCAAATTAAATATTATCATTGAATTTCTTCACAAAGAAGACGATTTAACTTATCTAATGAGTTTTCTTCCACATCAATTCATTCATTTAGAATTAAATATTGCTTGGAAAGTATTAGATTTGCATTCTTATACGCGGTTACGTTCACTGAAAATCAATCATTATGGTCTTTCGAAAAGTGAACTCGATCATGTAAGTTAAACGATTCTATATTTTTTCATATACTATGAAGAAACTGACACAAAATACGAACATATATTGTTATAGATACTCACTGCTAAATTGCCATGTCTTGAGCAATTTTCCATTTGTAACCTTCCATTTTTAGTCGAAAATAAATTTTTACATGGTGTTCTTGACGACAAACATTTTCCATCACTTAAAATGTGTCAATTCTCTGGAAGTTATTGTTACATACTAATACCTAACAAACAATATCAATCATTAAATCTTACAATTCGTACACTTGTCCTCAATTTTCTAAATCAATCAGGATTGATTTCATTACTCAATATTCTACCTAATTTACGTCGATTGGAAACAAGTTTTCCAGTATCTATTAGAGAATCAGAAAATTTCAACTTAAATCACATATCACTTGAACAATTACGAATTGGTCTTGTAGATCCATCTAATGATCTCGAAAAAATACTTCCATATATACCTAATCTAAAACAATTGCGTGTCACAGGCAAAATTAATGAACAATCGATTTTAGAACATTTTCAAAAATTAACTAAAATGTTTTGCATGTATACATCTAATCTAGAAAAATTCGATTGTGAATTATATCATTATGGATGCAATAAACAAATTGATATTTTTATTATTCAACAACTTCATCCACTTTTCAAAATGATTCAATGTCATTCAGGAAATAATTTCGAGCAATGTTACACGACTGATCTAATGGAATTTCCAATTTCGAAGCTGATTACATGTGAATTTAGACCAATTTCTTCAGGTAACTCTTCAATTTTATATTCAATGATTACATATATATTAGTAATGAGTACAATACACTGTGAATAGAATTTATTGATTAATATCAGAGATCGAAGAAATAGAAAGCTAAATTTTTGTTTTCGGTCTCTGATAGAAATCTCATTTAATTATAATTAAATATAATATCATGTTTTCTAGACATGCGATCAAAAACAAAGCATCTTGGATATTATCCAGAAATTAATAAATATGATAGCATTCAGCATCTTGACAATGATGGTGATTGGGTTTGATTATGAACATGGCCATGACCGAAATTATACTGCAAACTATGAGCTTTTTTGTAATGAGTAATAAAATTGAAAACCATGAATGTCGAAAATCTGAAAAAGACTCTTGGTTAATAAAGAATTTTACGAAAGTGATATGAAGTGATTCTATATGTAAAAGAAAATTGATAAAACATGTTCGCAAAAAGTCACAAGCTAAAATTTATTGTTTATTGATAGAAACATTCTCATTCAGGTGTGGCACCATCTATAGGTTCTGCGAAGGAGACATATTCGAATTTCGTAAATGTTGAAATCTTGATGATATTCGAACTCATACATCAATCAAAAACAATAAGCGACTTTGAGCTTGACATCATCGCCTTGAAATAAAAAATACCTACACATAGTTCTTTTTCCTCTCAAATTATACAAATGATCAGTCAATAGTACGATTTAGTTTTTCATTTTCCTATTCTTTTCTCAGTCTATTTTGATATGTTATCTTAAGATATATATTAATAACAATCACAGAAGTGTATACTTCTTTACGAAATATTTGTAACTAATCATTGAAACTGTACGGTTTTGTTTATCGTAAAAATCATCATCTTGCTTAAGTGACCCATAGTCATCGATTTCTGCAAGCTATATGCACAAATCTTGACAGTGGAATCTTTTTAAGTCACAATTTATTATTGCATTTCATTTGTAAAATCCAAGCAAAAAAGCGCAAAACTTAATGAAAATTTCGGAAAATGTTAAATATCTTAGCCTATATATTCTTTAAAAATTTTCTAGCTGTTGGATTTGATTTGATCGATAAAAAAGTACCAAACAGGAAAAATGATTCTATCACGTTTGAGCAGATCGAGTGGTAACGATACGGCTCAGTATGCTCTTTATCCCACTCTGATGCCTTTTCTTCTAATTCACATTTTGATGAACACCTTCTTCCAATGTGTTTTTTCTCTTATCAATCTTGACATTTTTCGAAAAGAGATGTACTGCTATTCATGAAAGTATGATAGCATGCATGAGTAATAAAAGTTGTAAACGTAGTCACATTTTTTGTGTCTATCAAAGTGCTTCATTAAAACGATATTACTTATTTGTGCATCCAGGTACAAATAATAGTGCGTGACATAATACTTCATCTATTTACATCCAAATGAATGAAATCGATGTTCGTGTAGAGTGGAAATCCAAAGTTGTTATACTTTCGATAAGAACTGCTCTAACAAATATAGAAGAAACAGAATACAGTGTGTTTCAAGTCATGAGTTTTGATCATGCCTAATAATTTTATCTTTGGAAACGTTTTTTAATATGGTGTGCATGTTTTTCAATCTTGAAAAGACGAATAGAAACACTGAAAACGCCGCTTACTCTGCAGTTTTACGATAGATTTCTGATCAACTTTGAAGTAATTATAAAATACAATGCATTGTAGAAGTAAAGATCACCATCTATCTCTATCTCATACACATCGCAAGCTCATATATGAGAAAAAGAGAAAAAGTGGGAGAGAGAAAATAAGAAAGAAAAACGAAGTGAGGATACCAGTGTGAAAGTAATATCTATATCGAGGTACAAATATTATTTGATATATTTGTCGGACACTGTACACAAACATAAAACATTGACATTGTTAAGTTCCATCATGAGATCATGTAAAATCTATGCATATAAAAAAAACCAAAAAAACTTGACTGATGTGTCTTCATTGTTTTGAGTCACTGTTGCTCAAAATATAAAACTAGTTTATCACTGAAAGAATAGAATTAGATATCGAAATATTCTTCTAAAAGAATCTAAGGTTAATTTGTTTTTTGGACATGTAGTATTCCATTCTGGCTCAAATTTTCGGTGTATGATAGGGTTCATAAACCTCTTTATGGACGATGTTGGATTTTTTTATGGCATGCGTACTCGTCACTAGGTCATAAACTCGATAAAAATGTTCACAGCTTAAGAAGAAAGCAATGAGGGCATGAATCATTATGCACCGGTCGAGAAGTACAAGCTGTTTCTGGCAGGATAACACGGGAACATTGAAGCAGTATTTTCACCGAAAAATTTTCGGATTTTTTTCGGTAGATTCCGATTGTTTCCAGAAGTTGGAATCATCGACATGAGTGGGTTTTGCCTAGTCTTAATGGATTCTATCTGATAACACAAATCTTATTTCAAAAGCTTTTGATCATCTGATGCAAGAGGCGATGATCGGTGTGTCACCGATTAAGGAACTAAGATCGTCTAAAAAGTGCAGTTCCACATGTCACATGTGGCGACGAGACAATGGTATTTTATAAGCTAGTCGAGCATTTGTTGAATTTAGTCATGGTTTCATCTCGAATTGTCTTTCAATCATAGAAAGCATTGAGTGTAGATATTTATTAAGCTAGAAATATTTTCTCGATCCTGATTTTTTATGAAGATCGTTGCGAATACATACATATGCATGTGATGTCTTCGTCATCAAGCCCGTCACTATCAAGAATCTCGCAAAGAATAGCTAGTCAAGCAACAGGATGAGATCATGTTCAAATCGTGATAAACTCAAACAGATCACTGTCAATAAAAATCAGAATTGCTATTTATTGTTTTTACTCATATGCATATTGTCACGTAGAATTTTAACAATGATATGTAAACATATATTCTTTCTGACATATATTTTACGAGAATATGTTCTTTCATTGAAGAAGAAACTCGTTTTTCTACATTAAATTCGATATGAATGACGGTTCAATTTGAATATGAAATATACATCGTCCCGTAATTGGATCATCATAAGTATCATCAATTTTGAATCGAACACCTGGCCGTAGTAGAATTTCTTCTTCATCATTATAATATGAAATCGGTTCAAGATCGACATATTGATCATTTGACGATGATCGCTTAATCGTGATAATGTGCAACACATTTGATCCAAACTCTTCAGCCGCATCACGTGATCGAGATGTCGATACAAATGATAACCATTTGTAGAAATCACCTTTTCCAACTGCGTTTTTGTATATTTCAATATCATCAAGTGATAGTGTTTCACCACGATAAACAGTTATCTCCGACGTATTATTATCTGTTTTTTTGACAAATCTTTTTAACTGATTTCGAATAGACATATATTCATTATGTCGTATGCCGATATAATTAAACATTAGATAGCAGAATGGACCAAGTGTAGTCAATTTCGAGCGATCATCATCACGTAGTGTTCTATTCACTAGTTCAAACAAGAAACATGGTTTAGTGTACAGCCGAGCACAACATCGTTGCAAGTTTCTGATTGTCTTCTTTTTGATAGATTCAATTTCTTTCTTCAAGGATTGAGCTTCATCATTTTGATTCAGTTTTTCACCTTCGATAACTATACCAGAAATGAGAGCGTCAATCAATGAGATGATCTTCATTTTCAATGTACCTTTCGTGAATAGGATAAACCAATCAGTAACAAAACTGCATCCATAGTTAAGAGTATCATCGGCAATAGAACGTTGAATGGGTTGGGCGAAATTGAATCGTTCACGACGATAATAAGCGAGAGTATCTCCTGCTTTCGAACATCGTCGAACTGGTCGTTGTCTATCAAAGTTAAGAATATCGATTTGTAATAATCTGTTCAAATCAATTTTATATTTTTCACTGATCACTACTTCTAATTGACGACCTTGATAGGCCTGTTCGATTTGACGGTTAATGATATTGGGGAATGGAATCCATTGTTCGATCTCATTCGATGACCAAGGATTAGTATTAGCTTTCCAAAACCATGTCACGCCTTTCATCTTTCTATTTAAATAGTCTATAAAAAAAAATGATTTCTATTAAGAATTTTTATATTCAGAACGAGATTATGGGAGATATGATTTTCTAAAAAGTTTATATCCTCAGTATACGTGTAGAACTACAGCATTTTGCGTCGGAATTAGAACTATTTTCTCAATACATAAGACGAAAACATTGTATTTTGTGCGTTCATTTTTTCTGGCTCAGAACAATTATCAATAGAAACTCGAGAAATAGCAGTTACTCACTAAGCATGTCATTTTCCTGTTAACTTATTTTAAATTTAAATTTCCAAAAGTTAAAATATAAACTTTTCCGAATATATTTTTGAATGTAATAAATTTTCGTAAAGATAAATTAGTCATCACTATTACTCATTGCGCATTACTTTTGTCGTTCTGCAAGTCACTCTTTCGTTTGGATGCTTCTTCACGTGACCAGAATGTGCGTAAAAAACAACATCTTTTTTTTTTCGTGTGATAAAAAAGGACAAACTAAGTGCAGACAAATAAACAAATAGTCATATCAGAGAATAATAGACAAATATGATTTAATTCAGATAACAAATCTTTTGAAAAAGCATGAGTAAACATATTTCCTCATGAGAACTCATGTTATACCTGCGAAAAATACGAGAAGAGATAGTACACATCAATGAAATGATTGCGATCGAAACTTTTTCGAAAACTTAGGTAATATTCTTTGAATCACATTTTTATGCATATGCAGCTCTTCATCAAATATGACGAACCATGAATAATAAGTTACTCCTCTTTTGTGCTGTTTTTTGGCAACAGAACGATAAAATAATGTGACAGTTAGTGAATAACTCACTGAGGAGGTGTATCGTCCTCGTATCCTTGAAGAGAAAAAAAAAGAAACAACGAAATATACTTTCGTTTGGTTTTTTCCTCCATTCCACAAACATAATGAATTAACTTATGGAAGAATATCTGTCAGCAGCTTTTAGTGAAAAAATGAAAAATAAAATTCGACTAGCATAATATTAATTTCCATCACAAAGCACACTGGAACCATTTCTGAAATGTTTGTTGCTGTATTGTTCTGTGATTCTGTCATAGATACGTATCCGTATCAGGTTATGAAATGAAAGATGTTGCATATTTCTTGATTGACGCAATTTTTTCGATTACAAATACATGACTTTTTCTGACACAACGAATCATTACGTAGGCTGTTTGTGAATTTCTCTTCCGTTTCGTTCTCATGTGTCATAAAGGTGAATAAACAAAAAAAAAGTATCTTGTCTGCCGTGAAGAAAAATTATTATAAGATATTGCGTGCAAAACTACTTATACAGATATTCTAGTATAATTCAATGGATACTATTATCACGTTAAGTACTACTGTCGATAATCGAAAATCTAACGATCATCAAACAACGTCGATGTATAATGGTAATAATGTTACAATATCAGATAAAATGTATCAGAAAGCAATACGTGCATTATTATGGAAACTCGATAAACGTTTGATACCATTTTTAACTATACTCGAATTGTTCTCATTTTTAAACCGAATCAATATTGGTAAGCATAATGAATGTTCTATGACGTTATGTATATACAACAAAAAAATAAGTCAGAATTATCTACTTTTTTAGGCAATGCAAAAATTGCCGGTATTGAAAATACTCTTCATTTAACTCAAACGGAATACAGTTGGGCAGTATCCATTTACTTCATCGGTTTTGTGAGTGAAAATTATTCGTTAACTATATTATTTTATCTATCTCTCTGGTATCATTCAGATGCTTCTCGAAATTCCATCGACTTTAATCATGCGATACATTGGTCCATCGAAATTTTTGTCAATTATAATGATCATTTGGGGTCTAATTATGGTATCAATGGCATTTGTAAAAAATGCCGCTGGCCTCCTAGCTACACGATTCTTTTTGGTGAATACAAACATGATAATCTAATTTTTGTTCTATATGACTGTTTATTAGCATACTTTCCTTGACTATTGGATGAGTTAGTGATTGTAACATACATGCTAGTAATGATCATTCTTACTACAAGATTCCTAGGTTCAGTTACAAATTCTATGTCTTTTCGAAAGTTTTATAAGACAAATAATTTGAATACTTAGAAATCCATATGTATTTCTTTCTTCTCAGATGAGATAAGTTATTTGGTTAAAACTTATTGAGAATAGTCTATTTTTTTAATCCACACATCACTTTTAGAAGACATTATGCTAATTTTTATATTGTTAGGGAGCTGCGCAAGCTGGCTTTTTTCCAGGAGTTATATTTTACTTTTCCATTTGGTACATACGCGAACAACACGTCTTTCGAATGGCCATATTTTATTGCGGAGTGCTGTTGTCTGGTGCTTTCGGAAATATCTTAGTCAGTATGATGATGAATGTTGTATCATTCTGTCTTAACATTTGCTTTATATTTATAGGGATACGGTATTAGTCTGTTAGAGGTTCGTACAAAACTTAATGGTTGGCAATGGATTTTCATCCTAGAAGGATCACCATGCGTACTCTTGGGGATTGTAACATACTTTTTTCTCGGAGATTTGCCGGAGACTGTTCAATGTAAGCTTGAGAGATTTATTTTCTTTTTTCTGTCGTATTATTATTAACTCTAGGGCTAACAAACACGGAAAAAGAGTTGTTAACGAATCGTCTTCGACAAGATACAGGTCTGTCAAACAATAGAGAAACGGTTTTCTCCTGGCGACAAGTGCGCTGTGCATTCACCGATTGGAAAGTTTACATATACATGTTTATTTATGTATGCAATTCAATAGCTGCTCATTCTCTTATTATCTTTCTGCCAACAGTGATTAGTAAAGGAATGAATCTTTCTAATGCCGAGGCACAGTTGATGAGTGCTCCGCCGCACGTGATGGCTTGTATATTCACACTACTAGTATCATTTTCTGCTGGTCGTTTGAAAGAACGTGGTTTTCACCTGACTGGGACCTTATCTATAGGTATCATTGGTTACATTTTACTGGTAACCCTGACTAATTACGGTTCGAAAATATTGTATATTGCAACATGTATTACTTGTGTTGGTACATTCTCATCCGTCCCACTTATCATCTCTTGGTTTACAAACAACATTAGTGGACATACCAAACGAGCTGTAGTCATCGGACTTATTATTGGCTTCGGAAACATCAGCGGAATTGTGGTCGGACAGGTAACGGAAGATTTCACAGCAAACTTCTGATCTGGATGATTTTTTGTTATTTTGACCGTTTGTGTGAATTAAAATGTATCAAATGCACATATAGGAAATGGATTCATTAGGGTTGATTGTGGTGACGATAAGATAGATTCTGACTTTCCAGTCGACTTAGTTTTAGTGCGCTGTATTTGCTTTTAAAAACAGTTCTCATGCCCTGAATACAGGTTTTCTCTGAGATGATGGAGGACCGATTTTTCAATGGTACATTAAATGTAGTTTCATTTGACAATTTAGAAGCATTCGAATACACGAAAATAGTTAGATAGTTTTCAATAAGCGACTTTTTCAACCGATATCGAGACTTTATCGAATTATTATATTCCAAATTCGTTAGTATTTCAGATTTATCGTGCCGAAGATGCACCGTACTTTATTCGTAGCCATCTGATTAGTCTCGGCTTCATGGTTGCTATGCTGTTTGCTTCATTGATATTGAAATACATTCTATGGCGTGAAAATCAACATCGAGATCATTTGAGTCCAGAACAACGTACACGTGAATTAACTATGTGTGGACAAGAACCATGTGATGCGGTAAGTTTTAAAGAGACAAAGCAAACGTCTGTTATACTTGTTTCATGTTTATTCTAGCATCCTGATTTTAGATATGTGACATAATCAATGAAATCAAATACTGACAGATATTTTGTTGATGAACAGCAATTTTGAAATCTGTTTTCATTGTAGCAGAAACAACAACAAAGAGCTATGATAATCTTTTTCATGATTTAACTCGACTAACACTTCAAACTTGGATGAAAACTTGTTCGGATCAGAACAGCATGAATGATTGTACATTCTGATGTGTAAATTTTCAAACATCACTCTTGGTTATATCATGAGTTCTTGTGTTAGATTGATCGACATGAGTGTGAGTATGGGTATGGGGTGTTAAGTGTCTCTTAATCCACACCTACATTCACATCTTTATTGCTCTATCACAACAAGATTTCGTTCAAAGTGGAATCCCAATTGAGAAATCAGGACAATCAAATTTAGTATTGATAGATTTTTTTTCTGATTGCTAATTCAAAATAAAGGAGGCAACAGACACAAAAATTAATTAGCTTATTTTGAAAAGGAGGGTGTGGGTGTGGGTGTGGGTGTACTTGTATCTGACATTTGTATCCTTATCCACACCCACACCCTCATGTTTTCTCGCCATATATAAATGACATATTAGTTTTCTATGCCGAAAATATGTAAAATTTCTGAAAATTTCTGAAAATCGACATTACAAAGCTCAGAAAATCTTTACTGTTTAGTACCAATAAATCCCATTTTTGACGAGCTTTCATTTGGTATAAAATTCATTATATATTCCTCTCTAGAATAATATTATTTCCTATCCTATATCTTGGGACATCCTGCCAGTTGATCGCGCCCATATATATAGATGCGATAAACATACTTAAAACGAAATGATCTTTGGATCACTGGGATAATTACAAAGTCGAAACCATCTAATGAGATCTTTTAGCAAGGTCGAAACGAGTCATGGTTTCCTTGGATTCACTCTCACCCTAAACTTATATATTTAATTTATGATTAATTTTGCTATTTTTATTCGTTTGAAAAACGACTTCAATTCGAAAAAGAACATGAGAAACAAATTGTTAAAAAGAAAAGAAAAAAATTGATTTAAAATTGTCTTAGGTATGTATGTAGTGTTTTTCTTTTTCTATATAAAAAAGGATATATTCTGAGAATTTATAGTTTTAAAGTAATAAAATTGATTATTATTATTATTATTATTATATATCGTGATCCAATCGAAAAAATATGTTTGATGGATCCTTCTATAAAGCGTGCGCACTTGTATTGATAATAATTTCAAAATTTTCATGAGAGAACAAATGATACAGCGTATCTATTTAATTACGCCTACTAGTAACAATGCTAGTGCATGTGAACTGACACACATGTCTTTAGTATTATCATGATTATAAAGAGCGATGCAAACGCTCGACTATTTGCACATTTTTACTGTTTTATTCAATATGCGTAGTTATCTTTTTGCTACTTTTCTCCTGATACTCATCATCAGCTATGTTTATTCCAATGAATCTAATCGTGGTAAACGTTGCCCAGCTTGTTGTGGTCCACCTCCATGTTGCAGCTGTTGTGGCTTACCTAGATGTGGTTTTAGGTTTAATCTAACTGACTTAGTTAATTTTACTATCGAACCAACCGTAGCCACACCAACTGTTCCCACTACGATCGCCGATTCCACCCGACCTCCAATATGCCTCACATGTTGTGGAAAACCACCGTGTTGTAATACATGTGGACTCGATATTAAGCTCTCCTAAATAAAATACTAATAGAATATTTTTTTTGTTGGTACTTTGATAATACTAATAAAAATTATCAACACATTCCGAAGTCTTCTAATTTGTTCTATCATTTATTAGCTGTAGAAGAATCTCTCCTTTACAAATAAGGCTGGATTAACGAGGAGAGTTGCCCAACTGTTTCTAAGCTTTCGACTTCATATTGTGGCTATAAGAAGATTTCAGTAAGGCTAAGAAAATCTTAAAAAGAATCGCGTCCATGGTGTATTAATAAAGAGTTGCGTTCGATTTACGCAATTTTCGATCTATTTCGTGGATGTTCACTGAAAAGTCAAATTAAAAGATTTCGATTAATCGGATTTACATGAATGCTCAATTCCTCAAGAAAGAAGCATTTATTTCGGCTGAAATTTTCAGGATATTCTAATGATTATCAGATCTATCCATGGGTAAAATTTCAGATCGAAATCTTATAATTCTACTTTTCAGTGAACACCCACGAAATAGACCGAAAATTGCATTAGTCGGACATAACTCCGGACACGATTCCTTTTAGAGTTTTCTTAGCCTCCCCAAAATCTTCTTATAGACAAAAGATAGAGTTAAAAGCTCGGAAACAGTTGGAGAATTTGAGGGTGAGAGTGTGGGTGTCTTTTATTCACCCGCGTCCTTATCTACTCTCGACCGTTGAGACCTACGAAATCATATTTTTTGACATCAAATACAAGTTGTTCACTTATCAAACCTGCAAATTTATAAATCTTACGATCCATGAGAAATTTATTTATTATTACCATTACAAATACATATATCTCTAACAGAAGAAATAATACGAATGAAACCATGACTAGTATTAATGCTAAAACTACCAAAAAAATTAACAGTATGAACCACATGATGACCATCAAAAATAGGATCATCATAAGTACTATCAGGACTACACCTAACAGTAGTACATGTCGTCCCATCGATACGTTCATAAAGTTTCCACATACGATTACCACGCCAGCGCTTCCAATCGTCGTTACTCCAACTCTGGTAATTACGTATCCAGTTCCAAGTTGCCGCATCGCCGGTAAAACTCCAATCACAGCATTTATTGCACATTAGACAACTACAACCGTTACAAGATAGTTTCTTTAAAGCAGCCGCTACAATAGATTGTTGAACTTCTAAATAAAAATTATGCAAATCTACAATAAACTGAAGAGAAATTTCATAATTTGGCTGTTCAAAGGTAGGCAATGTGAAATTGTTGTATTATTAGTGTCCAAAAATATTGACAGTGATACTTTAATATGATATAGTAAGCCTGAGGAAAATTCCGTTTTATATGAAGTAATAATTTACAACAATAATGCTCTATCTTTATATCATACTTGATGGTTCTTCAACTAATATTATAATAATAAAAATTCAAGAAGACATGTGTGATTATAATATGAGACAAGTTTTTTAGCTCATACTGTTTTCAACATGTATTTGCATCTTGATCTTTTCTTTATTCTTTATTTCCGACTTTTTTAATAACTAGTCGTCTATACACGTAGTTGTGTAATTATGCTTAAATAATCAGGGCAATTATTGCGAACATTTACATATTTCTGTTATACTTTCGCTACCATAATTGAACTGCTCTGTTAGATTGGCAATAAAGTTTTTGCGTTTTTTTCAAAAACTTTCTTTTTGATTTTCAACTTCAACAGTACAACCAACTTTCAATTATATGTATACCACTATTATCTATGACTTGTCGCCAACGCTTTGACAAACATAGGATCCCGCGTTCATAGAAATAATGGGACTTTTGTCCGAAGAAGTTGACGAGGTCCATTCTGACGTCGTTCTCATCGTCGAACTTTTTCTTACGGAAATGGTTAGAAAGAGAACGAAATAAATGGTAATTCGTTAGAACCAAGTCAGGAGAATAAGGCGCATGTGAAATGGTAATTCATCCGAACTTCAATAATTTTTTACGTATCGGCTTTGCAACATGGGATCTTCCGTTATTAGGCAAATAGTAAATTTCGGTGCTGCTTTTTATTGAGTTTTTCGGCAACCCTGGTCCAATTGCTAACAGTAGAGATAGCAGTAGTGGTACAACCATTTGGAAGAATTTCCCAGTGAATAATTCTATTGACTCCTCATCAAACGCTTAGAATCACTTTTTTGGGATGCAGATCGGTCTTAGGTGTTGCTATATTCGTTTAACTAGCTCTTAGCCATTGGCACCTATGCGTGTAGTTAATGTACAACATTCACTTCTCATCGTTAGTAATACGATGCCGGTGAGATGTCATGTCTTTCCTAATTCATTTAGATCTTTCTCCACCACAGTGTGAGAGCATCCAAGCTACTCCGCTAAATACCGTGAAGGCAATCGAGAATCTTCTTTTGATAAGCTGCTTTATGAGATCCATATCCTCTATCTGTTAGGGACAAAACGACAACTAATGCAATATATCAATGGTATTTTATCTATTCAGCTGCATTATCATAACGAAAAATCGTTGCTTGAAGTAAGATAAATAACTGAACATACAATATATTATATGGTCTTACCTTGTGCTTCAGTTGTTGCCATGTCAGATATTTAATCAGTTCGAGAGCTTGTAGACTGTTCAATATCTGAAAAGAAATCGGCATGGAAAAATACATTAAGATTGTAGGTGTGGGTGTGGGTGTGGGTGTAAAGAGAATACCCACAGGTATATCCACACCCACACGCTTCTTTCAGTCACCACATAAGAAAGTTAATAGATTTGCATAACAGATATGAACACTTATTAGTGTTGCTTTTTCAAAAAGAGTACAGTTTGCATGCGTCGACATATTCATGATACTTATTCAACTTAGAAATATGAAAATTATCTATGTGTATTAAAACAGAAATTTCAGCATACAAAACATTGAGAAATCCAACTGACCTAGGATGTCAATGCTCTTTTGTTTCATATAAAAAAAAACACATGGATCTAATTTCGAGCTGATCCTATATCAATGTTTGGTGAATCCTTCTAAGAGTCTCGAAATGTAAGTTGATACGTGTCCGAGAATATTCTTTATACTAATTTAACTTTCGATTTATTTATTAGTAAGCAATTCTTTTACACACAAAACTACGATAACCAAATTCGAAGTTCATTTCGTACTGGAAATATTATTCGACAGATGTTAGAATTCAGTAGTCGCTCATTGCCAGTATTGAATATCGCTTTTTCAATTGTTACTTCAGTTTCTGGTTGAAGTCGTAGAAGACCTCTTTTGTTTAAAGTCAATTGAATAAGTTGCTGAAATGTATCGACAATTTTTACAATAAATTTTACGAGATTTTCATTGAATGCTATATCACCATTACTAGTTTCGAGACAACATATACTGGGTACTAGTTGAAAGAGATGGTTGATGTCAATGTATGGATTTGGATCATTGTAGCGTTTGTATAGTTGGAGATGTACATGTTTGACATTTGTATTAGATTGTGAGCAAGAATGTAAATCATTCCATTCTATAGTAAGATGTGAAAGACGAGGCGATATATGAAGTATCTGATCAATAATGTAAACACGTTCCGATCGTACGATCGAGTCATGAACAAAGGCAAAAATCACAGAACACAACCAAGGAAACCATAGGTGAGACCATGATGAATTAGATTCATTGGTTTGAATAAATGTCTGAACAAAAAAACAAAGAAATGATTATTTATATATCTTCTGAGAAAACATATCCAACTGTCAAATCGTTTTTGGATCGGTCATGTGCACAAAAGATAGACCTCAGTGAGTTATTAAACGCCCTAGAATAGTTTGCTTTTCCCATCTTCTGTTGTCGAATTATGAGTGTAAGATTCTTCTGAGTACCTGAATGGTCGAATTTCAAATTGAAATTTCGCCCATAGATAGGCCTTATAAGCACTAGGAACTCCTCGAAGTTTGAATCAGAATGAATGTATCCTTATCGAGATATCATCTTGTCATGAAAATGTCTCTATTTGAAACAAGGATTTCTTTAAAATATGAACATCTCAATATGGACACATTCATTCTGGCTTAAACTTCATAAAGCCTATCTATGGGCAAAATTTTAATTTGAAATTCGATCATTCAGATACTCAGAAGAATCTTATACCCATAACTCACTGAGGTCTATTGTTGGCATACATGATCGGTCCAAAAGCGATGTGACAGTTGAATATGTTCCTTCATCAGTTTATTTGTCATTTTACAAACCAACAACGCAAAGAACAGGATTAGCAGTTTTATTTGTATACTAACCTTTGTTTTGTAGAATTGTAAATGAAGTGTATCTAAATGTCCACTAGCCAATTTGTTGAAAGTAGTTGTCAATTGATTAAGACTATCTATCTTATTACATATCCATTTGATAGAACGTCGATTGATCTGAGTTGAATATTGTGCAAATGAATGATTGTGAATAGTACGTGTATATTGTAATAAGACGTCCAATGGAGAAGTATAAAAGAGAAGGACTGATTTCGTCACATTCTCAAAACTATTGATAGAGACAACTTGTTCATCAAGATGATAAGTAAGATTGTTAAAGAAGCATGTAACATCATATATCTTGACAATAATCTTTTCAAATGCTTCATATAGATGTCCAGGAAAATAAATAAGAAAGTAGAATTCTTTCAAAGAAGGTAGATGTTTATGATTAATAATTTGACAAAATTCTTCACAATGCATAAGTGCTACAAATGAAAAGTAAATTGTATTTTCTTTCAGATAATTTTTAAAAACATATTTTGGTAAACAAAAATATTTCAAGACGAAGTCAGTTATTTCAATCATGACATGTCTGCATATGAATGTGTATTCTAATTTACAACTTACAGATTTCTGAAAAGAAAACTAACTACCATTGTCAAATCTTGTATAAGCTGATTCATAACTAAGAGTTTCATTGTTACTTGAATAACTTACTTTCATCAAATATATCAACAAGTGTTAATTTCTTCAAAAGAGGCATGTTGAAAGAACGAATTAATATTATCACATTATAAAGAGCTAAATGACGCAATACAAGAGTTTGAAGTCGAGTTCCATCAGTCATTTGACGAATATCACTTTCACAAAATTGAATTTGTGGTTGTGGCGCATCCAGATAAGATTCTCTTCGCAATTGTTCTTGTTCAATGGTTATATACAAATGTTCGAGAAATGGTATGGCACTGTTTTGAAGAATAAAAATCATTTCAAATGGAAATTGAATAGTTAAAGTCAATTGAACAGTACGTGACCAATGTAAATTTTTCAATTCGGATAAATTAGAGTATACTACTTCGGTATCGCAATAACAATCTAAACAGATTTATTTAGAGTCATTAAACTCAGCAAGATATTCAGATGTATGAACAAAGACCACAAAATACCTTTTTCTATTTCGAATATCATCGTATGAAAAGATATTTGTGCTTGAATCACAAAGCTGAGAAACATCATATATGTACGATCGGAACATTGAAATATTAGATGGAGATATTGTAATGAGTTACCAAGTGACAGAGGTATAAGTAGAGAATCAACAAGACTATATACGTATGTAATAGCCTGCATTTCGTACAATCAATTGTTCAAGTTTTGGTGTTATAGACATTGGTGGTAGGTTTTTTGTCCAATATTCATAAAAAGCCGAAGAAGAACATGAATTGCTGAGAATGATTGTACGTAATTGAAGAAGATAACTATGCATAACGAAAATCTGATTCATTTCAGAATATAATATTAATTTTGTGTTGAGTAAAAATGATTGAGAATCAATGATTTTTTGAATACGTTTATTATTAATACGAAAAAAGGCTTTGAATAAATCGAAAGATGATAAATAACTGAGGATATGTAACCATAATTCAGTTGGTAATGATTCTAATTTAGAAATATCCATCT